ACTTAATGATTAAATGTTGTTATCAGCTTATTGGGCTGCTCGCCAGATCTTCTCAGTGGGTCGCCATTCCGAGCCGGTAGTAGATTCTGAGAAGTACTGCTCTTACAAGTAGCAAAGTTGGTGTTGGCAAATTTTCTCAAGTTGAGTCCGTAAGCTCACCTACCCTTCCGAGCGTACCTGTAATAGCTCCTTACTAGTAGGCTACCAATGAAATGATAGGGAAAAAAAGTTGTTCACTTTCAGAAAACAAAATCCTTGAATATTTATTGTAGCTTAAATAATGTAGACTATTACGCTAATTTGATTTGATTGTAATGTTGCTCTGGAATCTATCACTTTTCAGGATGGTTTGTTGAAATTTGGAGTTTACAATACTGGACATTTGGTTGATAAAATGTATTGGTGTATCGTAAAATTGTGAAAATGGATTCTTTTAGTATTTTATTAAGTTTTCGTGACTCGTAGACATAATTAAAATTTGTTACTCACTACAACATAAATGATTGCTCTCACTCTGCGAAACATCGTGCCACATGGCGTCGCATCGCGAGAGCATCGGTATCGCAGGATCCGACTGATGCATGACCACGACCACTCTGTCAAGAGTGTACGAATAGGAAGAAGAAGACATAATTAAAACTACTTTTACGGTTTCGCGTTTCACTATTTTCATTTGACAATTTTTTTTCTTGAAACTTCGAAAACTATGAAGTATTCTAAACCTCGGAACTTTACAATTTTAAATAATTGAAGCATAAAGACAAGGGAATACATAAAACGGTTTCAATATTTAAAAATACTTATCAGCACTATCTTGATAAACGTTAAAAAGAAAACGTAAATTACCGCGATAATCTGAATTATTAGAAATAAAATGTTTATTTAATTACATTTGTATTGCTTATTTTTCATTTCTTCATTATTACACACCGTGTACTTTGACCTACAGACTTAAATATTGCCTATTTCTACCAGTTTTATGATAGATGAAATCCCTCAGATTCAGCCTGGTGAGCTTACCTATCAGCCATAGCGTAGCAGAAATAACCCCTTAGGCTACCACCAGCGAATAGTTAGGAAAAGCATTTTGATGAAAAGTTGGATAGACGTTAATAAAATTAAAACTTCGATTATTATACCTCTAGTTCTCCGGGTGCCACTAATCACATTAATCATCTTTACGTGTATTACTCGTATTATTTTGCACGTGTGATTGTTCTTGGGCTGTTAGGTCTCTTTTGGAGGCGCTCGGGCAGCTGTTAGAAAATTCCACCCCTGGCTGAGCCTTTGCTCGCCCACCTGCCATGGTGAAACTGGAGAGGCCTCTGGGCCACCAGTAATAGCTCAAACATAAAAAAGTGTGATTGTTGCTGGTTCTCTTCTAAAACGTGAAACCGATTTTGGTGAATATCCATTTGAATGAATATCTTAACGGCTTACATTTACGTTTTGGACCAGGTGCTAATTTTTTTATTTTTTAGGGCAGGAAAACGTCTGCCGTGCTAGTCTTAATTATATGTTTCCCCTTAAAATGAGAAATTAATTTATATCATTGGCTTGTTTAATTTTTATAAAAAAGATCTTGTTTCTTCATCATAGACTTTTTATTGGTCCAATTGAGTAGCTATTTTATGTACTTACCAAAGAGCGTACATGCTATAAGAAATCAAAATCTCAATTATATTGTGAAATGTGTGCCCCAACCCTTCACTTCGAAACGCATGACTGCTTCGCGGAAGAGATAACCAGCACGGTGATATCTCAAAGTACCACCACTAGTTATAGAGAGCGCTGCTGTCCATACTCCAGTCAATCCCTTGCTCGCTTTTTACGACACCAATCGAAAGAGAAGTGGTGGTATTGTTCTAAGACACCAGAGAGTCATACAGTTCAGACATCAGTCGATCGTATCTGGAGCCAATCGTATCTAACACATTCATTCACAGCTAACTAATAATAAACTAATTATTGTAATCGTTTCCTTTACATGCTTTTTCCTTAAAAACGAGATTGAAATCGTAATAGATTTAAAATTTATGAATGACGTCGGATTCGACTGCGCTTAAGTTTATTTTTTAATAATCAGCTTATCGACGCGACGCGATCTTTTATGATTTTTTATACTGATACACGTATACAATTCTTTGTTCTTGTGAACAATAATTGCTAAAGTTGAATGACATTTTGTCTATGAAGACATTGCTTTATTGCAAATTTATTATTTGTTATAGATAGAACTTTCTGGCATTTAAAAAGGGTCAGTTGTTTTCTAGTACACAACAACACACAAGCAGCATGAATGTTTTTCTTACGTATTAGTTTTTGATCTATATTTTAGGTAAAGCTATGTTATCAGAACGCAACTCATGACAACGTCGTCAGAAATTTTAAATTGGCATTTTCAGATATTTAGCGATATTCAGAGTGAGGCGTCCGAGGGATTCCCTAGTCTGTACTAATATATAAATCTACAGTGGTTTTTACGGATGTTCCGTTATAACTACTGAACCATGCATCCGATTGATTTGAAACTTGGTATCCATGTAGGAAATACTTGTACTTAATGGATAGGCTAATATTTATATGAGTGTTCGACTTCCTAATAATAATGACAATAAATAATAATGTTAATTTTAAATGCCCAGCAAAGCGGGCGAGTACGGCTAGTCTTCATTAAAAATATAAAGCTATTGCTTATTATATAAGATAATATTACACGCGTTTTGTTTTCAAATAAATCTTTTTTTATCTGTTAATTAATAAAAATATATCATGTAATTAATGACGATGTACATACATTTTGCATTTTTATGAAATGAGTAATGTGAAGATGATTGTAGAAAATTTGGTTTTAGTCTTTGTAATAATTATAACTTTTTATAAGAATTAAGCATTTAAATAATTAACAATGATATTACCGGTTGTTATTATGAAATTTCAAATTGTTTGTAGCTACAGAAGGTCAAGCGGAGTCAACGCGTCAACAGCATCAATCGCGTTTGAGTGGCAACCGCGTGGCAGGAGAAGACCTGGTCGCCTTGTACTAGTGGTACTGGTGGTAGGTAGGACCTCTTGTGAGTCCGCGCGGGTAGGTACCACCACCCTGCCTATTTCTGCCGTGAAGCAGTAATGCGTTTCGGTTTGAAGGGTGGGACAGCCGTTGTAACTATACTGAGATCTTAGAACTTATATATCAAGGTGGGTTGCGCATTTACGTTGTAGATGTTTATGCGCTCCAGTAACCACTTAACACCAGGTGGGCTGTGAAACTTGGCGACGCACCCTGGAAAGTGAGATAGCGGACGTGGGATAGCCGACGTGACCTGGAGTGATGACAAGGAGCAAAAGCAAGACAGGGTCAATTGGAGAAAACTTGTGAGGGCCCTATGTACTAGCGGAGTACCCTAGGACTACAAAAACAACAACAACAGAAGGTCAGCCAAACTCACGATTAACTGCTACAAAATTTATTACAGGAGCCCGTACAGACATCGAAATATTATTGCAGCCATCCAGCTCGAGACATGAAATCGAAGTTTCAATTATTTTTGTACAGCGTCTGACCCACCGTTCAAAATACTGTACAAAATTTGTTCACGAACACGAGTTAGGAACGTATTCATAACTTGGTAATTGTTATATGGCTTTGTTTGGTCTGATTTCAACTTTTTTTTTCCACAGGAGAAAATCGCCGGATCCCCACCCGCACGTCAGTTGTGGTATGTGGGAGTCGAACCTCACTAAAAACTCCTGCCACTCACAGCCGGCGCCCCACCCCGGACCGGGCGGGAACCCACTCGGAGCTATTGAGACGGCGGGACAGGGCTTACGCAGAGCATATTACATCCATCCCGCCGTCTCCTGAGTTCAACTTAGTAGCATTGAGAGGTGTCTAACGCGACTTATGACCGCTTAACATTAGATGCACCGAAAATTCGTCTGCGCATCTCAACTAATACATAAAATTAATGCTAATACAACCAGTTCTTGAATGATGGGCGTCTTGTTAGCCCGCACATATAGGTACCACCAAACCTGCCGATTTTTGCAGTGAAGCAGTAATGCGTTTCGGTTTGAAGGGCGTGGTAGCTTCTATATTGTAAAAACTGAGACTTACGAGTCATATCTCAAGATGGAGGCTGGTATTGTCGTGGTTGACGTCTGGTCACACAACACCAGTGTGCTTAGTGTGAGTTTTTTTACTTTTCAATCGCGTTAAAGTTAACCCAAATTTTTATGGATATTTATTTGATGCGCCACTAACAATGTAAGAAAACGAAGGGATGCTGTTCTAACTCCATACAAATTGCGTTAAAACATTGTCATTGTAGAGTTAACTTCTACGCGATCGAGAAGTTAAAAAACACGCACTTAGCACACAGGCGGGTTGTGAGATCGCCCACCCATCCTAGCAAAAAAACAACCATTTTTATTTTTATTTTTTTTTATTGCTTAGATGGGCGGATGAGCTCACAGCCCACCTGATGTTAAGCGGTTACTGGAGCGGATATACATCTACAACGTAAATGCGCCACGCCCCTTGAGATATAAGTTCTAAGATCTCAGTATAGTTACAACGGCTACCCTACCCTTCAGACCGAAACGCATTACTGATTCACGGCAGAAATAGGCAGGGCGTTGGTACCTACCCGTACGGATTCACAAGAGGTCCTACCACCAATAAATTTTTGGTACTCTTGTCTTTTATTTGAAGAAATGTGACAATATTAAACCAAAAGCACACTTTACTAGTTCATTCGTGCTTCTTAAAGATAAAGTTCGTTTTTAAACAACTGATGAATAACAATAAAACATTCATTATAAAATTAGTAACGAATATCAATAAAACGGTTGAAACTGAGCTAAGTATATCAAGCACGCTAATAAAGAAGAGATAAAAAACAAATTTCGATTTCAGCGTAGCAAACTAATTAGGCACAATAAAACCTAAGCGTTGCCACTGCTCGGGTTTATTCCAGACGTTGAGGCTACCTACCGTGTCAGGCTGATCGGTCTCCATAAACATTGTTGATTCTATAATTCGTTTTATCACGAACTCCGGTGGAACTGTATCATTCAAAGCTTGTGTACCGCGCAGACCGCACGCGCCTCAAAAAGAGTAACAATTTGTTTTCAGTGCTATTTATTAAACTGTAATAACAATAGTTATTATTAGTTGCGCGAGAGCTCCGTAGCATTGTAACGTAGCGGCTCTACGAGGCGACGCGTTCGTATTACAGTGGACGAGTTCTTCCGACGACTTTTTCTCGATATTTTTCCTGAGAAAATTCAAAAATAACAATGGCAACGAAAACTACTGAGAGTGAGTCTATTTTCTGTTTATAGTAGTAAATAAAAAAAACTATTTAAGGGTAACTTGAAAATCAAATTCGTTCTTGAACTCACTATTTTTTTTATCAGAACTAAAAAAAGAATGTGATTCTTTTAGGCTTTATTTAACTGTGAATTTTATTTTAACTAGCTAAAATTGTTTTATTTAAATATTGTACCCTAATTCGTGTACTATCGTAACTATTAGGTATATATATTTTTTTATTTGTACCTTATTAATTTTCTGTATTAGTTATGAAATGCATTAAAATTGAAATACCATCGTCGAGTTGGAATCTGTCGTATCTCTAGTTCGACAGGCTCAAGATCAGAAACGTCCCACATAATTTTTTTCGGGTTTCTTTAATTTTCATGTATCGAATATATTTATTATCATCATCTTGTCAGCGTCGACTCAATAATATCAATTTCCATGACAAATTTTCATGACATAAATCTCAATGTAAAAAATGAATTAAAAACAAGAAGAAATTAGATATAATATTTTTTATGTGAAACATCGGAAAACTGCCGTTTGGTAGAATGTTTGAAACTCTAAAAAACAGAACATATAGTTATTAAGGTGCCAACTACAAGTGCATTATCAACGATAAACTCTCATCGTCTCACGGTCGTTCCGTTGCTAGCGGATCGAAAAATACTTAATACAATTAAAGTGAAAATACACATCTTAAATGACGATGCAACTATCGTAACAGATTACGGATGGTTTATCGGTGGACACGACATTCAAATTCAAATGAACACAATAAACAACAGAATCCGATATTTCAACTGAGATACGACATTTTACAAAATCCCTAAACGCGTTTCGTTTTTCGAAAAATTGCCAGATTTAAAAACTAAAAAAACCAAAAATCGAATCAGTCTCGAGCAAGTTAGAAAAATATATTAAAATATTAAATAGTTTGAAATACGAATATATCGAATACCGTTATCAAAAACTAGGATTAAATAGGATTACGACGTGTTCACTTAAATTACATCCTACTAATTACTTTTATCTTGTTTTAAGATTGTCTTTAGATTAGGCGTGATTATAACCCATGAATACTTTAGTGGAGTAGAAATGGGATTGAGTTTCTTGGGGTTTCGTATATGTTGTTCAATAATAGGTAATATTTACGCGTATAATTGCTATGTGTTAATATTCAGCGTGATAATCATATACGAACTAATGTATGATTTGAAAAAAAAGACAGCTTTCTCCCAATCCGTCTAGTAGAGTTCCAATCCATTAAGTTTGCATCAAAATATTTAGTAACTTAGCCATTTATTGTCAAATATTTTTACTGGTAGGGTTGCCTTGTAGTCTCTCACACGTAGCTACCACCAGTCTGCCTATTTCTGGGGTGAAACAATAATTCATGCCGGCTTAAAGGGTGTTGCATACTTAAAATTTGAGACTTAAAACTCATATCTCAAGGTGGGTGGCAGCATTTTTAATGTCTATTTTTTTATTTTTCTTATTGCTTTGGTGGGTGGACGAGCCCAGTTGGTGTTAAGTGGTTACCAGAGCTCATATACATCTACAACGTAAATGCCGCCACCTACCTTGAGATATAAGTTCTAAGTTCTCAAGTATTGTTACAACGACTGCCCCACCCTTCAAACCGAAACGCATTACTGCTTCACGACAGAAATAGGCAGGGCGGTGGTACCTACCCTTGCGGACTCACAAGAGGTCCTACTACGGTAATCATTTAACAATAGGTGGATTGTGTGGTGTGTGAGATCTCGTCCACCCATTTAAGCAGCAGAAAAATAGCCAGACGGTTCGTTCACTAGTTCATTAAAATACGAACATAACATTATTTTGGCATCGTTCCTTTTAATTTTAAATTTATTTTTTTCATTACAAAGACAATTAATTGAAAAAAAGCAACAATAAAACTAAACTATGTATTATAATTAATTGTAAAATATTTCAATTGGAGCATCTAGATAAAATACATGAGGCCGAGTTTTTAAACTAATTTCTCTAATGCATTCAACGAACAATATTCACGTACGACCTATGTTTATACTTATGTTTGTTCGGACACAAGTAGAATATTCATGTGATTATATAAATAACAAGCGTATCTTCGTACTTAACAAACAATTTAATTACGTTTGAACCAAGTAGCGTGCGATACTTAGTAATTTATTCCAATGATAAATGATGTATGAGTAATTAAACGTATGGACTCTAGTATTGATAAAATGTAATTATTATGTCTATATGTATTGTGTTTATCTAAATGTGTTTATTGTGTCTATATGTTTATAATTATAATTTGCATAATTACTGATGGTAGGACCTCTTGTGAGTCCGCGCGGATGGGTACCACCACCCTGCCTATTTCTGCCGTGAAGCAGTAATGCGTTTCGGTTTGAAGGGTGGGGCAGCCGTTGTAACTATACTAGATACCTTAGAACTTATATCTCAAGGTGGGTGGCGCATTTACGTTGTGGATGTCTATGGGCTCCAGTAACCACTTAACACCATGTGGGCTGTGAGCTCGTCCACCTATCTAAGCAATAAAAAATAAAAAAAGTATTAATAGAACGTTACTCGGTCGTGCAAAGCAGTTTTAAAGGACTTATTTTATTTAGTTTATTTCGGTTTGGTTCATAGCGACAAAATCAACTGCGTAGTTATTCGTCTGGTACGTGATTCAATAGGCGAAGTTAGGTTTAACAACCTATCATTTAGAAATAGTCTCGCAACAAGTGTCGTTTGCGATACATGCGTTTGCATTTCGTTTTAAACCATTCAATTGGAAATAAACGTATCTTTATATAGCTCATGCTGATCAGCAAATTAGGAACCCATTGCTTTATTGCACGAACATTTTTTTTTAGAAAGTGTCTTACCCTATATGGCTTAAAGGTCTCGTTGCCAGGCCAAATAAAACCTTAAAAAAAATACCCTAAAATATTATCCTAAACTCGTTTACTGCATAATATGTACTTAGTTAAATTTTTATGTAACTTTTATTTATTTATTTAAATTTATATATGGAATGAATATGTTAGAGGAAGTATGAAAGTGGCACCTGTGACAGAGAAGCTGAGAAGTGCGCGTTTGGGATGGTATGGACATGTGATGAGATGAAATGAAAATGAGGTTGGTAAGAGAGTGTTAACAATGAATGTGGAAGGATATAGAGGAAGAGGTAGACCTAAGAAGAAATGGATGGATTGCGTGAAAGACAATATGGGTAAGAGGGGAGTGAGCGAAGAAATGGTATATGATAGAAGAGTATGGAAGGAGAAAACATGTTGCGCCGACCCCAGGTGACTGGGAGAAGGGCAAGATAATGATGATGAGTTAAATTTTTCTTTTGTTTTGCAAAAGTATGTAGGTATTATAAGAAAAATATATTTATTTAGGTTTTTCTGAAGGTATACTCAAATTATAGGTTTATCTTTCAGGAACTATTAAATTGTTCACTTTGTGTTATTATAACGTTAAACAGGATATGCAGGTCGTTTTCAAACGAAATAACATAATTCGATGTTTGGAAGCCCTCTAATCATTCGTGCGCGCTAATCTCAATTATCAGTAGCGTGATAATTATAGACTGATAAATTCGGTAACATGATGTAGTACAAGTACAATGTAACGATATGGTACATACACATAGACTTAATCCTGATATGGCTTCCGATAACACGCGCCTACTTTCTAAAAAGAATTATTTTACATATTATACTATTTATATTTAGGATATAACTAGAATAATTATTATTGTCTAAATGTTTTCTCACTTTAATTTTCGAGTAAATAAATTAATTAAGTTAAATGTGAATGTGGAAAAAACTCGAACGCATTACACTATCGAAAGATATGCAAATAACTACTAATTTGCACGGTGATATAACGCAAAATACTTTTTTTTTTTTTTTCTAAACTGAATTAATTAGTGCGAGGCTTGAAATACTTGGCGCCAAATTTCAACAGTTTAGTAAATTCATAGACAATGTAATATTTTTTCGTTGTTGTTGACTGACCATGGTTTTGTTTCGGGTGGATCTTAAATATTGATAAAATAAAATGTCCATTGTCAATTATCTTTACAATAGATGTTTGCCCCAGCCGAGAGCACGCTTGCTTGGTTTCAAATAGTTTAGTGTGACGGATGGAGGTATTTCTGGTATAGACAAAAGGTTGGATAATATTCTGTGGTCATTTTATAACATTGAGAAAAGGACGTTTTACAAAATTTGTCGTTATCTTTCTATATTTTTTTTTTATTATTATTTCGGAGTCACTTTGATCGACTTAATTTACCAATATTTTTTATTATAGGTATGATTTAGAGAAATTTTTTCCTAAAAAAATTCGTTAAATACATTAAGTGTAGGCTTCTAGCGAATCCGTAATCATTTAATGTAATTGTGATAATAATGTATGGTACAGCAACTTGGAGTTCAAGTTTGCTAGTTCGTGGTCGTTTTTAAATTTTCCCTTAAATTAAGTAATTATTAAAATTCGAATTTATTTTCTCGAACATAAATGTAAAATACAAGTAACTCGATTACCAAGAAAACATTGGGAAGCGACACTCGCCTATCGAGTTACGAAGCTTGTAGTATTTATTTGCATTAAACTAAAACAATGCAATCCTGGTCATTTGAATTGTGCTACGGAAATATATTTGAGGCGATTTCATTCTAGAGCGAGCTAGAAGGTGCCAGTCAAAAATTCATGAATGCAATGGTTCGAGTTAGTATGGAGTATGTGTGTGTGTGTGTGTGTGTGTGTGTGTGTGTGTAGTGTAGAGTAGTGATGACGTAGGCTTCGGGCGGAAGGGGCGAAAGTAAAATAAAAGCTATGAGATTACCTTATATAACTTCTTATAATACTGTTCATAGAACTAATGATTCGAAATATATATGGAACTAAAGTTTCTTCGTCGACCTAGAAGTTCCAAGCAATATGTAAAGTCTTATAGGGAATTCAAACAAGACTCTTCTCAAATGACATAAAAGTTGTTTGGGGGCTCCGACCCATAGATTGGAACCTTAGGTCGTCTCTACTGGTTTTTTTTATGGCTTAGATGGGTGGACGAGCTCATAGCCCACCTGGTGTTAAGTGGTTATTGGAGCCCGTAGACATCTACAACGTAAATGCGCTACCCACCTTGAGATATAAGTTGTAAGATCTCAGTATAGTTACAACGGCTGTCCCACCCTTCAAACCGAAACGCATTACTGCTTCACGGCAGAAATAGGCAGGGTGGTGGTACCTACCCGTGCGGACTCACAAGAGGCCCTACCACCAGTAAACTGACTGTCGATGGCTTCCACGTGTCTTTATATGTCCATTTATTTGTTGAATTCAGATCATGAGTAAAATTGGTCAATTAGACAGGTACGTTGTAAAAATAAGCCTAGGTGGGCTAGAATGAAACACCACTTTGTAAACGGACTGTGCTTTGTCTTCTTTCTCATTATTATTTAGTTGATCGTAGTTAATCTAAGAACTGTGCTGTCGTGATCAATTGTATAACTCTAAATATCATTTTCTTCATTCATTGATCTCGAAATGAGTGGCCACGAGCGTGAGAATATGGTCGCCACTCAAACGTACCTCCCTAAATTAGTGCAGTAGAATGGCCTCGAGCAGGCAGAGATGGCGTGACATCGGGATGCGTCAAGTCTGTCTCCTCTAACACTATATGACGATCACGACCACACTTTCAAGACTGAAACGATTGAGAAGGACAAAAATATCCGACGAAGTAGTCGTGGCCTAAAAGATAAGACGTCCGGTGCATTCGTGTTGAGCGATGCACAGGTGTTCGAATCTCAGGGGGGTACCAATTTTTATAATGAAATACGTACACAACAAATGTTCACGATTGACTTCCACGGTGAAGGAATAACGTCGTGTAATAAAAATCAAACCCGTAAAATTATAATTTGTATAATTACTAGTGGTAGGACGTCTTGAGAGTCCGCGCGGGTAGGTACCACCACCCTGCCTATTTTGGCCGCGAAGCAGTAAAAAAAAAAAACAGTCGGCCCACCGAGAAAATAGTGGAACTGGTCACTCAACGTATGAATGCACCAATAAAACAAACTAAGCTAGAACATTTCCTGTTATTCTCATTTGTACGTTTTCGAGAAATTATGTAAATTAGCCCTTACAGTTAGTTGCCACTTCAAACCTAAATATATTACGTTTATTTATAAACACATCATCGCTGCCAAACGTAATAATCGTTTCGCTTAACATGTCAAGGGTAAAACAGAAAGATGCACTGAAATACGGGTTATGTTTTATTAACGTGCACGTTTGCTAATTCTAATAGGATGTTTCACACGTCCTTAAAACATGTTTAACGGACGGCTATCACGATGTAGGAATATTATCTATACTAATATATAAATCTACAGTGGCTTTTACGGATGTTCCGTTATAACTACTGAACCATGCATCCGATTGACTTGAAACTTGGTATTGTAGTAAATATATGTACTTAATGGATAGGTTCATATTTATATGAGTGTTGGACTCCCTAATAATAATGACAATAAATAATAATGTTAATTTTAAATGCCCAGCGAAGTGGGCGAGTACGGCTAGTCGTCTAATAAAATCAAATCCGTAATTATTTATGGCTTTCGTTTTTGTAATATTTTGTTAAGGTCCTGCTTCAATGCTGGTTTAATTGACATGTTTCATGAGTTCTGATTTGAATTACATTAAAATGGTGACTTAACAAATTTCGCCGAAAGGTATTAATTAGCATCAGATAGTTCGTGAGCTTGTGTGTCAATAATTAAAAAACATATCGAAGATATTATATAAAAGTCTCTAACAAAGATTAAAAATAAATATATTTTTTTTACATATTTAACGACTTAGAACTAGGATTTTTTTCTCTTCAGTTCGAATATTGGCACATTCGCATCGCTCGATACTAGTGCAACCGTCGACTTATCCTTTAGGTCACGACGACTTCTTATTCGAGACTATATAATAGTATTACGTATTTCCTTTATCAAGAAATCAAATAGCAGTATGTACCGGTTTGGAGCAGAACATGACGAATAAAACATCAAAACTGAATAGAAAAGTATTCGTGATAAAAAAAAAAATATTGCCCTTGTAGGCAGACGATCATACGGCCCACCTGATGGTGAGTGGTTACCATCGCCCATGGACTTCAGCAATGCCAGGGGCAGAGCCAAGCCGATGCCTACCGCTTAATACTCTCCACAAGCCTCGTTTGAAGAAGGACATGTCAGAGCGCTCGGGAAACATCGTGGAGGGGAGCTCATTCCATAGCTGGATGGTACGTGGCAAAAAAGACCACTGGAAACGCACTGTGGATGACCGCAGTGGCTCCAGGTAGTATGGATGAACTCTACTCCGGTGGCGGGCGGTGTGATGGTAAAAACGAGATGACGGTATCATCTCGAACAATTCCTCAGAGCACTATTATTATTATTATTATTTTTTATATTGCTAGATGGGTGGACGAGCTCACAGCCCACCTGGTGTTAAGTGGTTACTGGAGCCCATAGATATCTACGACGTAAATGCGCCACCCACCTTGAGATATAAGTTCTAAGGTCTCAAGTATAGTTACAACGGCTGCCCCACCCTTCAAACCGAAACGCATTACTGCTTCACGGCAGAAATAGGCAGAGCGGTGGTACCTACCCGCGCGGACTCACAAGACGTCCTACCACCAGTATTATTCACTGAAATTACATTTTTAAATATGACGAGTAAACTTTCCATAACCTTAAACGCGTTTATCGTCCACTTTTTGTTTGCTGACGTCAAATAAACTCACATTGTTCATTTTGTACCCACGAATCGAAACTACTGGAGGCAAGTTGTGTTTTCGTTAATTAATAAATTGTTGGGATTTCCATTCTCCTGATTCACTGTCATTATCATCATTATCTCACGAGCTTAGATTTGATGTATGCGAATATTTGAATTATAATTATACTACGGTGACTTGAAGAAAAAGAAAAACACAAAAACACGAACTTAATTTTGTTGTATTAAGTTTGTTTTGTTACGAATGACTGTCAATGAATTCAACTTTATGTTTATTCGAAACACCAAAATGCGATCTATTAACAAATCTATTGGTACTACAAATTCATTAAGTACCGACATAACATGTTAGTAATTTAAAAAAAAACAGTTTTTTCACACTAATCTAGATCAGATAATAATTTGTAATGATCACAATCAAATTCTTGCACTGCAAATGCATTTCCCCTGTACTTTAGTGACTTGATATTATGTAATTCGACACGTGCAAATATCATTTGATTTTGTAAGCGCCTCGACTCTTGACATAATCGAAACATCAACATAATCGAAAATTCTGGAAATGTATACTAATATTATAAAGCTGAAGAGTTTGTTTGTTTGAACGCGCTAATCTCAGGAACTACTCCGATTTGAAAAATTCTTTCAGTGTCAGATAGCTCACTCATTGAGGAAGACTATAGGCTATATAACATCACGCTAAGACTAATAGGACCAATAGGACCAAGCGGAGCATCAATAAGGAATGTTTCAAAATCGGGGTATTTTTCCCTTTTGAGAGCTTACGCTATGTATAGATATACGCCAAAGTAACTATTCCACGCGGACTAAGGCGCGGGTAAAAACTAGTGTGATAATAAAATGTTAAATGAAAGTTCTGCTATCGTTTGAACCCTAAGTCTACATTAAGTATATTATATTACTCAAATATATAATATGTATTTTAGAAAATGGCCTAAAAACTCCAACTCTAGATATATGAAACTACAATATACTTTCTTTATTTCGACGTACATAATATGTTATTTTACATAGAGTGTCAAATCTGTAAATAAAAATATAATCTATTTAACAGTTGATCTGGTTGCAGATGTAGAAAGCGGTAACGGTGCCCAGCCTGAGGGCGAAGCCCCCGCTGCGCCTACACGCCGGCGCCTCCTTGGTAAGCGGCATGCTATCCAATATGCATGAGGCACAACCTAATGGGTTCAATATACAATCACTCCTCCATATAATATGACGATATTGGAGGATTCGGCATGTGTTGGTTTCACTACTTCCTTTTCATAGCACTGTTTACTTCTATATACATTTATTTTTAGTTTGAGTTTGCTGGTGTTTATCGTTCACATTATTATCTTTCGAAGTTATACAAGTAAGACTGTATATCATTAAAATACATTACAGCACTCTTGAGTACTTCACGACACATCTTAGTGGGCTCCAGGAAGATAATTTTTATGTTTGAATGCTATTTATCTTTATATGAGCACATTAATCTTTGCGGTTTATTTTGTAAACATATAATGTCAAAATTAATATGTTCTCGACTTATTATTTAAGATGTAACAACAATATGCGATTCAATAGGTATTTATTCGATTTATATTGTTTTGTTTTTAGTATAATAGTTTTATTAATTGACATGACAACTAGTATTGGCTATGTTATCTGGAAGTATATTTTGAAGTCGTCGTGGCCTAAAGGATAAGACGTCCGGTGCATTCGTGTTGAAGCGATGCACCGGTGTTCGAATCCCGCAGGTGGGTACCAATTTTTCTAATGAAATATGTACTCAACAAATGTTCACGATTTACTTCCACGGTGAAGGAATAACATCGTGTAATAAAAATCAAACCCGCAAAATTATAATTTGCGTAATTACTGGTGGTAGGACCACTTGTGAGTCCGCGCGGATAGGTACCACCGCCCTGCTTATTTCTGCCGTGAAGCAGTAATGCGTTTCGGTTTAAAGGGTGGGGCAGCCGTTGTAACTATACGTGAGATCTTAGAACTTATATCTCAAGGTGGGTGGCGCATTTACGTTGTCGATGTCTATGGGCTCCAGTAACCACTTAACACCAGGTGGGCTGTGAGATCGTCCACCCATCAAAGCAAAAAAAAAGTATGTCATAATCTGTCATGATGATCGTAGAAGTGGTGGCGCATTGTAGAAGAATAAATTTCTACGTAAATTTAATACGTAAAATTAAAATAACGTATGTAATTAACTTCATTTATGGCTTTGATTACTCGTCTATAAATAGACAATTATCTGCGGGATCCCAAATCGTGTATTAATTTAGTAAAAACAAGTACGGTCTAGACCGTATCAATGACGATCTCAAAACAAGAACAATTAGTTCCGCCATACATTTTTTCTGTGCACCAAACAATAAGAATGTTTACGGCGATTGTTCTCACGTTAAAAACATACAGCAGTGACATTGAAACCGGAAAATTTAGATTTTATACCATTCCTATTGAACTAGTTGAAAATAATTTAGGTTGGCTTAAGTGGTTGGAATTTGTTTACTAGTTATTTTCATAAAAAGTGACATAGGCATGCGACATTATTGGATTTCACTTAATGAATACCAAAGTTGATAATTTATACGCCTCACTGTACAAATGTCTTCTCCCAGAGAGGGAAATTAATTTAGCAGTACAGATAACTCTCCTACAACCCGGTATTTTACTCCCCAAAGCCCTCTTATAACATGGTATTTCTACAACACGATAAGGAGTTTATGTTTAAAATTATATAGAAAATGACATTAAGCACTATGAACACACAATATATGTGAATAATCCAAATTAATTGTTTTTTTGTATAATAGGCAAAAAATACAAACAATACAAATTACTCGTCTTTTTGTACTAGTGGTAGGACCTTTGGTGAGTCCGCGCGGGTAGGTACCACCACCCTGCCTATTTCAGCTGTGAAGCAGTGTGCGTTTCGGTTTGAAGGGTGAGGCAGCTGTTGTAACTATACCGAGATCTGAGAACTCATATCTCAAGGTGGGTGGCGGCATTTACGTTGTATATATCTATGGGCTCCAGTAATTACTTAACACCAGGTGGACTGTGAGCTCGTCCACCAATCTATGCATTAAAAAAAAAGGCTTCGAATCTCATGTAACACGGTTTCGCACAACACAGGGATTTTTAGAAACGTATCTACCGTCTTCTATGAGGGTTACCAGTATCTAATAATGGATAAAAGAAGTTTTAAAAAAAAAAAAACTATATCGCCTTATCGATTATTATTTAAATCTTACGGTTACAAGGACCAAACAATAACGTTCGCACCGCTACTGTACTGAGCAAAGACGATTGTTCCGGCTACTTTGTGGCAAGTCTTCATTTTACAATATCAAACACATACAAAGACCTTTAATATATTAAAAGATTAAAGGAGCCACTGTTGCAAAAAAAATAAAGACTGGCGGATTCATAATATTATTCTTTTAAACGCTAAAGTTTATTACATTTATTTATATATTTATTTACTACAAGGAGAACCAACAGCAAACTAACATAGTATAATTTTATAACAAATAATAGAAAAAAAAAGCCAATTAAAGGTTCCCACCAATGTAAACAAATTAAAACACTAGAGAAACAAAAAAATAGCAACAAAGTAATTAAAAACAAACGGCAAAGGAGGAATATACCAGACTAATTTAAATGCACACTTATATATAAATGTCACAAATTAATAAAAATCAGTTGTGCTACACATCGCCGGTACATGGCGCCGCACCCTTTGTCCCGCATTACCCAAGAAAAATCGTGCACTAAGCTCAGGAATAAAATGGGCCAATATCTAACAACCTGCCATGTCTGTTGAGGTCACCACCAACACGTAAAAAGAATGAGTTTTGCCTATAATTAGTTAAGTCATAAAGTTTTATAATATTAATAATAATAAGATATAAAAATAAAAAGTATTATATAAAGTTATAATAAAGTTATAAAGTTATAACTACTTCAACTTAATGCTTATATTAAATTACTGCCAAAGCTAGGGGGCGGCATATTATGTTCTCTTAATGTTAATCTAGAGCACATCAAATTATAATTAAAAACTATAAAATGAATTAGGTTTTAGCTTACTTTAGTACAGTTGGACTAATTTAATGGTCTGAGTAATGAAGATTTCTCCCTTTTAATTGTTTCTAAATAACCTAATTTGAATAGTATAACTTTATGTTGCTTATTATAATATGTAATATTAATTTCGATAAAAATGATTATAATGAATTGGTAGGCAGCGGCTTGGCTCTGCCCCTGGCATTGCTGAAGTCCATGGGCGACGGTAACCACTCACCATCAGGTGGGCCGTATGCCCGTCTGCCTACAAAGGCAATAAAAAAAAAAAAAGAATAAGTTAAGCATGATGAGATAACACGGTTTGTTCTCAATTAAACGTCTCAGTATACCGCGAAGAACCAATAATTCAATTTTTAATTTTAACCCATTACAATCTAACACTTAAATCTGCTAAAAATATTTACTTTTGATGAGTCAATATTACACCCTACGACATTCAAAATAAGGTATAATAGCTTTATTGTATCAGTATTTCTTTTTAGATCAAACTAGTGAGAGGATTACGTGAAAGTTTCCCTTTCAACTGACTTTGAGTATTACCTTCACACATAATCGTGTACTCTGCGACATTACATCACATCTTAATGTGTTACGGTTGTTTTGATGCTCGTTTGAAATATTTACTAAGTGTTTTAGTAACATGATTTTCCGAAAGTATTCGAAAAGTTAAAATTATTATTATTAAATTCTTTATTTCAGATAATGATCCATATTATCCATTTTAAAAAAAAATGTCTTTTCCAGGGTTATGGATGTATATTAAATATATGTATGTGTATAATAAAAATATTACATTTATTTCCGTTATCTGGTACCTGTAACACAAGTTCTTTACGAACTTACCATGGGACCAGTTAACGTGGCGTGATTGTTAGTAAATATTTATTTATTTACTTATTTATTTATATAAATGTTAGTAACAGTGATTTCTTAAAAATAAGTTAGTAAGGACACAGTAATAAAAGAAAACAACAACATACATACTACATACGATTGCAATAGCTGCATTACGAGAAAATTATGTAAACCTCTCTGCAATTATTCAGAAAAGGTCCATCTAATCTTGAGAATATCATGGCCAGGATGCTGTTGGAGCTAGCCCCTACCCTGCAGAGCAAGGACGCGCATCGCTTTCTTAATATGACATAGAAATCGTCGGTGCGCGCCTACGCAGACATGTAAATTCACAACGGTCAAACTCTAATTTTATTTTTCCCATCGAACTTTGACGTATTTCGTCACAATGCACAACCATAGCTACTATTTACGTTGCAAAATTTAAGCTAATCGACTTTAAAAGCATAGATAATATTACTGATGTCTTCTTCCATCAATAAACTTCAGTAAAGTTAGGTCAGTGTTTATAAATAGCAGGAGGAAACGGTGAGATGACAAAATTGTCGCCCCCACGCTGTGCGTTAGACAATTTCATTCAATTGTGACCGAGACGTAGTTGATACGAATTTAACGGTACATCCTTGTTGTGTTCGAATATAGAATAAAACGACTTGAAACTAATTTGGCAAGTTTTTCGTCCGTTCGGACCGTTGCAAAGAACTTACCCGCTTGAAATTGACCATGAAGACTAATTATTGTGACGAGACAGATAAATTCCTCATAAAATCATAAAATGTATCATAACGCCACGTTTTTTATAAAGTTTGATTACAGAAAACACATTAATTAAAACCAAACGAAACTTTTTTGTGTGTGTAATCTCGCGTTTTCTTGTCATTTTATTAGAGCATATTATTCCAGAGCCAAAAAAAAATAAACTTTTCCTGTATTTTCCATTCAATACTTGAAATATTAGAAACTACATTATTTTTAAGAACTTTCTTAGAATTTAGGTTATATTATACAGTAAACATCCTATTTTTCTAAATTATTCCCATAAATCACTCTATACCTGTTTATAAAACAGCTTGTTTGCAATGGGAACAGTCAAAGATGTGACATACGGACAGACTAAGAAGTTGGAGCTAAAACAGTAAGGTTCTCTTTCTTGCCGAATGATTGCTCTAAAACTGTGGTTGTAGTGAAAAA